TCTAAGAACTTTCATGAATGTCATCTCTTTAAAAAGCAAGCTCACAGAACTTAAAGTGAACTTCAAACCAGATCAGTCATACAGTAACTGTAGTGATGAAGAGAAGGAACAAATAATGACACCATTGTTTTATAAGCAGGGACTACCTGCTGTTACTAACATGTTACAGTCACATACAACCATCAGACTACTGGAGATAGAGTGTAGAGGTATTAATAGCAAGTCATCTCAACCTAACTGGATAGAACTAGTACAACATTTATTTGAAACTATCTTCATCCATCCATCACTTGAATATATTGAGTTTAATGCTGGATATGTTCTTCCTCTCCTAAAGGATACTCTTAAAGATCAAAAGAAGACATTGATTGACAGACACAGAAAAGAACAGCCACACAAACCACTACCAATAGTGACAATTTTTTAATAATTGATTACAAGATTAAAAACTTAAGTAGTAATAAAACTACAAAATAGTTAAACACATAATAATACAACACACAATGTTAGTACCGGTATATTAATCATTACTATCATTAAATAATTCCTTTTCCTTTCCTAACAACTTTAACAATAATAAAAGTAACAACAGCCACTACTATTATAACTATTAATACTATTATAATAATTAACTTGATTGATCTCTTCTGATGCTTCTCAGCCTAAGGAGAGAGAGAGAGAGAGAGAAAGAGAGGGAGGGAAGGAGTTTCATAATGTATACATGCAGTACATGTACATGTATGCATATGCTGTGTAGCTAATTAAGAGGTGTGGTCAGGTAGTGATGTACATGTACATGTAGGTTTACCATTAGTATACATTAGTATTAGCTCTTATTGTACCTTTATCTACTAGTACTTCAATTTCTTCTTCATCATCAAACTGCATTCCTCCTCCTCCTCCTCTTCCATTAGTATCAATTGTTGGCCTTAACTCACCAGCAATAACCCTCTCCTCACATCCTTTCATCCCTATTAATAATAATAATAATAATAATAATAATAATAATAATAATTATTATTATTATTATTATTATTATTATTATTATTATTATTATTATTATTATTATTATATCAATTAATTAATGGCAACAATGTAAGAATTGGCTCTTTTTTATTACAATTTTTTTCAATTTTTCAAGTTACGGCCATTTTTAAAAAATGGTAAATTTTGAAAAATACCTAAGGCCCATGGTTTTTTTTTCAAAAAATGGCTCCAAAATCACCCTAAATTTTTATTACATTTACTGATACATATTGACGTCCTTATGCTGTGTAGAAAGTTTGAGCTGATTCCGAGCTCAATTTTTCAAGTTATGGCCATTTTTTAAAACGGCCAATTTTAAAAAATTTCCCTGTACTATAGCCCATGCTTTTTTTCAAAAAATGGCTCCGAAATCACCCCAAATTTTTATTACATTTTCTGATACATATTGATGTCCTTATGCTGTGTAGAAAGTTTGAGCTGATTCCGACCTCAATTTTTCAAGTTATGGCCATTTTTTAAAAACAGCCAATTTTTGAAAAATACTCAAGGCTATAGCCCATGTTTTTTCCAAAAAATGGCTCCGAAATCACTCCAAATTTTTATTACATTTTTTGATACATAGTGATGTCCTTATGCTGTTTAGAAAGTTTGAGCCGATTCCGAGCTTAAATATTCAAGTTACAACCATCTAAAACTCTCTTCTTCTCTGTTTCTCTTACTTTTTAAATAAGATGACTATGCTTTCCTAAAATCCACTGATAGATCTTGTAGTGTGATTGCTAGCGATGATACAACATTCTTAGCAACTTTCTTTTCCTGATCTGATCCATTTTTAGCTTGTCTGTTGATTACTAATAATCCTTGCTTAGCCCTACTGAACATCTGAGAGAAGAGAAATATCATAATAATTATAATGACTATAGTATGTAGAAAATGGCTAAATTTAGCTTTGCATTAAAGTACATGCACCAGCTAGGATTCTGCATAAAAGAAATTAGAGGTGTTCTGAGACTAATATTTTCCTTTTAAATTTATGAACAATATCATGCTTTATGTATGGCTATTAATATAAATTGGATGGTTGGTCTAAGTGATGAACTGGTTGGTTCATTTGTTGAGATGGTTAACTACCATAGGCAGAACTATGATGTACATGTACATGTATAACTAATCATTACTTGCGATATTTCAGCAGTTAGTATGTCAATGTTGTGTTCTTCTTCAACATCATCAAACACATCAGGTCTTGTACTGTGTTTATATCAACCTTACCTCTCCTAGTAAATGAGTCCTGCATATAAATAAAGAAAAAAAGAGAGAGGGAGATATTAGAAAGAAAGAGATAGACCAATAATACAGTAAAAGGTAGGTACAGTACATGTACAGTATATACTCACCGGTCTGGTGCTGCTATAGTAACATCAGGTTCAGTTTTATCATGTTTAACTAATGCCACAGTATCATCACCAGAACTCTATAATAATATACACATACACACAATACACATAATATTAGTTACACATGTACATGTATAAAGGTATGTACTGTATGTATAGCTGGTAATGTTTAAGGGGGAAATTTTGGCAAACACACACACACACACACACACAAGTGGGATTAGTTTGATATATCCTGATCAATTAAACGCTATTATTATAAAATCATAAGTAGGTGTGGTTTCTTACTTCAAAGTTGCCAGAGACACTCCCATTGGCGGTAGTTAATAACAAGTCATGTGATCAAACAATCATCACGTGATACTTGAGACATTTTCATTGACCCTCTCAGATTCTATAAAAATACAATAAAGACACAACAAAAACAATAATAATTGAACCTAAAAATTATTACTAATTAGAAGGTGTGGCTAAGCATGGGTAGCCACACCTTTTTGCAACTGCAGCTTGAAGTGCTTTTGACTCAATTGACTGTATCTTTTCATTTCTTTATCTTACAACAGTTGATCATTAACAGTGATAGAGGTAAGTATATTATAGTTCATTTTAATTATACTTTACTAATAATTACAAGATGATTGATGTCTCTCAATGGAGAGCAAGTATTGGACTCTGGAACTACTGTCAAGCTGCCTCCAGTAGACCAGCTAATGGCCGCCACTCTCACTCATTCAAAGCTGCAGTAGACAGCAAGTCAGGCAGTACTACATCAGGAGAGAAGACATCTAAACTGCCAGCAGCTCTGTCTCTTATTGCTTTACTCCTCCTCCTCTTTCTCTCTCTCTCTTTATTAAGACACATCTTGATGATTCCTCCAACAGGTAAACAACCATTATGCTAGCTGTGTAGAAAGTTTGAGCTGATTTCAAATTCAATTTTTCAAGTTATAGATGTTTTTTAATTGGCCAATTTTTGAAAAATAACCAAGGCTATACTATAGCCCATGTTTTTTTCCGAAAAATGGCTCCAAAATCACCCCAAATTTTTATTACATTTTCTGATACATAATCATGTCCTTATGCTGTGTAGAAAGTTTGAGCTGATTCCTGCAACTTCAATTTTTCAAGTTACGGCCATTTTAAAAAACAAACCGCTTTCGGAAAAATACTCTGTACTATAACCCATAGTTTTTTCCAAAAAATTACACAGAAATCACCTCCCAATTTTTATTCCATTTCTTGTCATTAGGTGTATCCTAATAAAAGGATTCCTAAGCCGATACCAACTGCTACTCTAACTCCAACCAGTTCACATGATCAACAACAAGTAGCAGTGGAGCCACACCCATCCCGTGTGACCCCGCCTACTAGCTCCGCCCCTTCATCAGCTACACTACCAACTCCTCATGCTCATTACTCTCGTCCTTCCCCTACAGTCACTGCTGAGACCACACCTCTTAGAGAAGTATCACCAAGTAATATAAAATAATATACCGTACAAGATGATTTATTGGGAAGGAATTAATATTGCTGATTGGCGGTTCTATGAAGAAATTGCAAATATATAAAATCAGCCATTTTGTTTCAATCTGAGCATGCTCAATAGCACGTGGCACAAAATCGCCAATATAAAATTCACAAATTAACTTTCCACTGGCAAATTCATTAAATATTACTCTCACCAATAAATCATTTTGTATGTTAATATAACTATTAATTACATGTACAGTTAATTAATATTGGGGTCAATGTATTTATTTTATAATTACAATATACTTTCTCCTGCTTTAGGTTTGACGGTTGCTAATCATCAAAGATTATTAAATTTAATAAAAGACGATTGGAACTGCCTAGATCTGGTATGTGTTATACATGTACATGTACACAATTAAATGACATTTAATTATTAAATTAATATTGCTATTATGTGTACATATGCCCTGCATGGTGGTAATTTTCAAAAAATGTGCATGTACATACATGTATGTACACACATGTATGTATATACACACATGTATGTACATGTATGTACATGCATGTGTGCATGTGTACATGCTATTTAACTCTATTGCTCTTAAAGTTAGCTTTACAAAATATGTACTGTATAGCAGGAAATTTTGGAGGGAATAAAATTTGATGAATTGCTAAATTTTGGTGATTGGTGGGTTTAATTTGGCGAATTGGTGGCCACATGCCATTGAGCATGCGTATAATGGCTCAAAATAATTGATTTTTATTTCGGTGAATGGCTATCAAAATGCCAGTTTTCCAAATTTAATTTCCTCCAAAATTTCCCACTATACGGTATATTGTCAATTTTTATCTCCCTCCGCCCTCTCCCTCTCCATCAGATGATGACTACTCTAGAGGGTATGGTGTCAAAGACCCAGCGATCATTAATGACACTAAAGGAGAGAATACATTTGGTATCAACACTGACCTCAGCTTATAATATGTACAAACAATTTGAAGTAATTAATACAATCACACACACACACACACACACACACACACACACACACACACTCATAGTGTAATGTCATGTGTAATTAAAGTCTGTATGTAGTACACCACACAAAAGTACTATGTGCTGCACTGTAATGTATGTACTTGTACATAGTACATAGTGCACCACACATAGTGTATATTATACTTGTAGTTTTTTAAATGGCCGTAGCTTTAAAATTTTGAGCTCAAAATTGACTCAAACTTTCTACACAGCATAAGGACGTCAATACGCATCAGAAAATGGGTGATTTTGTAGCCATTTTTGGGAAAAAGCATGGGCTATAGTACAGGATTAACAGCACATCTCCAATAATACAAATGTGTATATGTAATGTGAATATTTCTTGAAATCCTCTTCTGTCTTTCTCTTCATTAGCAAGAACAAGAGCCCATTATACAGCAGAGGATACAACAAGCAGTTGATGAAGTGAAGACAAAGTCATCAGAAGACAAACAGAAAGTATTAATGGACGCCAGCAGACAATTGAGGGAAGCACTGAAAGAAGCTAATGCACAATCAAACTCAAAAGAAGTAAAGAAAGAGAGAGATAGGGAGGGAGAGAGGAAGGGTTAAAATAGGAATTGTTTAAGTATGTAGTACAGACTAGCCTCTATATAATGGACACTTTGGGTCAAGAAAGTGTCTCTGTTATACAGAGGTGTCCTTTATGTGGAGGTTATTTTAT